AGAGAGAGAGAGAGAGAGAGAGAGAGAGAGAGAGAGAGAGAGAGAGAGAGAGAGAGAGAGAGAGAGAGAGTTTTCCATCCATAGGATGAGCAAAATGTGAATAAATCTGTTGCTAGAACATGGAAATATACACTGCCACATTTTCGGTCTTTGGCAGTGTATATTTCCATGTTGTGGCAGTGGATACTTCCATGTTCTAGCAGAAGATTCAATCCCATTTTGCTCATTTGGTGAAACGTGGCAATGTCCGTCTGTGTGTGTGTGTGTGTGTGTATATGGATTGGCAAAATGAGAATGAATCTTCAACCAGAACGCGTGTGTGTGTGTGTGTGTGTGTGTGTGTGTGTGTGTGTGTGTGTGTGTGTGTGTGTGAGAGAGAGAGAGAGAGAAAGAGAGAGAGCAGACATTACACTGTGTCTAACAGCTTCACACAGTTCCCTCAAAAACCAACACCGATGAAGAGAGGACGTATAAACAATATCAAACATGGATGGCCGATGACACTTCCCACGTCTCAAACAGTTTTCCTGGCCCGGGGCGCTACAGCCGCAGTTGACTCCTTATTACTAATAGCCTAAACTGCTGCCCACTTCATCTGGCAGACTGGCACTCCATCTACTGAAAATGAACTGCAGCTCTGGATAGTCAGGGTTGAGAGAGAGTACCCTACTGGTCAGGTTAAGGCCGTCAGTCCACATGGCAACAGAGCAAAAATCCTTCCTAATCGTACATCACCTATTCAATCAGCCAATCATCATCTCAGCCATTTTACAACAAGCTCCCTAATACGACCCACTGCGTGCACACATCAAAGCGAGAGAAGCAAAGTTACCATAATCGATCCATTATAACAAATCACAACAGAAGGAGAGAGTGAGGGAGAATAGACACAGATCAGAGGGGAGGAAAGAGAGCAATCACAGAATGGCCAGCGATCTTGTCAAGGGAGATTCCGGCTTAGAAGCCGAGTGATTAGAACTCACGCTCAAAGGACTAAAAGGGCCTTTACCCGATGCAGGCCTCAGGCCTTGTAAAAGTAAAGCAGCGTGAAAGGGTATCTCGCCAGGGCTCAGAAACGTGAAAGCAGGTCAAAGGTCAAGTTCTCTATCAACGGGCACATCCCAAATCTAAAGCAAAGGGTATTGTCAAAAGACTTACCTGTTCACCAGGGGATGTGCATGTCATGTCTGTTCGAAATAGGGTGTGTCTGTGCGTGCAGTCAGTGCACCTGTTCGTGCAAAGAAGAGTGTCTATTCACACCTTGGGAATGTCTGTTCAGGCAGTGAGTGTGTCTGTTTGTCTAAAGATGTGCCTGTCCGAAAGTAAGTCAATAGGTAAAGTCCCAGTTCTGGTCTAAGTCAAGGGGACAGTCCAGATCAAGACTTTCATGTCCAAATCTAGGCCGAGAGGCCTCAGCGGCAGTTGAACTTCATTGGGACTGTACTGGGACACATGCAATGCAGGGTCTGGGACGAAGGAAAGGCTGAACTAAGCCAATGCAGACCCAGCGAGGAGAGGCCAGCACTATAAAGGCAGCAGCCAGCCTCATTCCTTGCCAGATCTCCACTGGCTTCAATGCGTGGAAGTGCTGTTGTGCTTGTGCGCCAGTCAGTAGGAGCAGCGCTGGAGGAGAAGATGCGCTAGACAAGGACTGTGCGCTGGAAGGGATGCAGCCATAGCTGCCCAGCGAGTTAGTACTAGAGTAGAGGGTTAGTAGTTAGCTATGAGTACCATTCAGAGTAGATCCTCATGAGTGAAGAGTGTGTATGCATCGTAGGAGGAAGGGACTGAGGCAGAGAGTGTTCATTCAAGGTCTGGCTAGAGAAGATACTTACCTGAGTTGGAGGTGAACTGCAGAGGTGGCGCTGATGAGTAGTGACCGCATTGATGACTTGGAGACAATCTGCAGGAGTAGCGCTGATGTACTGGAAGTCATATTGATGAGTTGACAAGGGATCTGAATTGCGCTGATGAGCACTGGAC